CTCTCTCTCTCTCTCTCTCTCTCCTCCCAGTAGTTACTCAAATAAATACATGGGTCCATAAGGCTAAGTGCCACATCTGTTTTGGAATTTCCCCCTAATGGCCCTGCCACCCAGGCTGAGAACTACCTACTCGAAGCAAGTTCATGTTCCAAGTCACTCAGTGATGGAGGAGAGCCCACAGCACCGCGCAGACAGGAGTGATCTCAAGATAGTCACGTGCAGTGATGAGAAGAGGAGACCGGAGTCTTTCTAATTTCTTACTAACTCCTGCCTGGTGACAGCACAACAGGCCACAAGGTGATGGAAGCTTAGTCTTCCTTGGTGAAGGGCTTGTTTCCTCCTACCGTGAGACCTCCTGGCAGAAACACAGAAGCAGACATTTGGCCTCAAGGACATTTGTCCTACAGAATCACTAGAACTCACTTTGAGTACAGACCCATTCTGAGCATCACTCTGCATCACAGCCACCAGGGAAACGTACCACGTCTGAAACAACACCAGGTAAGACTTCCAGAAGTGACAAAAAAGAAACTAATAAGTGAGCCAACTTTTCCTGTATCATTTACACAAAGCTGAATTGATTCGGGTAAAATAATTTCAGGAAGATGGAAATGGAAAATATTAGAAATATCTAATGTTGGCATGTATTTAAAAATTAATTACAGGAGACAAATGCAGACTAGTCCCTTTAGAGGAAGGGAAACTTGTCCTAGCACTTGGCCCTGAAATAAACTTCTCACTTTTCCGTGTCCAGTGCTCCTTACACTGTTATAAGTCTCTGACTTCTCTGTGCATCTAATTCAATTAGCAAATCCATTCCTCAGAAACTCACACACACACACACACACACACACACACACACACACACACAATCCAATTGCAACTTTCATTTTTCATTCCATTTCTGGAAATTCAGTCCCCAGAAGCCCATGCATCCCAGAACCCCAGTCAAGGAGATGAGCAAGAGGGACATTTGTCTCAAACCATTCTGCTGAGGAGGAGGCAGAGAACAAGGAGGAATTTCCTAGGGACCGACAGGGAAACCCTGGCAAAGGTGTCTGAGATATAGCTGCGTTAGAATACGGTACCAGTGTATTCTTTGAAGCCTTGCCGAGTATTCAAAATTGAAACTTATAGACTTTTTCAATGCTTTTTTTAAAAAATTGTCTCCCTTCCCCAATTTAAAAACTAAACACCCATTTTTAATGTCTTTAATGAAAACTGAAGATGGCAACAAATTATTTTGCCTTGATTTAGACCTTGACAGAAAGACCAAGAAGGCAAAACTAGTACAAGGCTGTGCACAGAGTGACAAAATCTCAGAATAAAAGCGCTCCAATCCTGCTCTTCCTGGGCTCACAGACCCTGGGGTAGAAGACTGAGGGAGGGCTTCGACACACATGCATTTGGGTGTCTCTGTGACTAAGTCACCACTGCCCACATGGTTTGGGCAAGTTAGCACGTCAAAATCTCATGTCCAGTGCTGGCACTATTTGTGGATACCAAATAAACAAGGGTTCCCTTAAAGAACTTCAATGTTTAGGGGAGCAGTTGCCTCAGCCCCCAGGGTGATCAGTCAAATATGGAATAGAGGGCACCAAAGATAAGGCACGGTGCTTCCAGAATGGGGATGGGGAGGGGTACACCGCTATTGATATTTAGACCAAAAAAAAGCAATCTCTGCATCCCTTCTGCACTGTTAGGAGCCAAGCTGAGTCCGCTGAGGAGGTATCAGACACCTTTCCAATCTGCCTTTCCCCAAGCCTGGCCTCACCATCCAGAAGCAGCACTGGCTGGGCCCACATAGCCTGCAAGGATAGCTAGTACCACCCAAAGTGTAATAGATCAACCCAGACTTTCCCCATATGAGATTATTTCCAGAAAGGAAATCTGCCAAGAGACAAGAGCTACTGAGAGCAGGACGAGAAGATGGCATATTGGGGCCATGTGAGGAAAGCTGATTTCTGGCTCGGCCCACACCCAAAGATAGCAGAGGAATCAAATGCATGAGGAAGGGGTGTCTTCCTTCACAGCCCCCACCCTCAGGCATTTATTTGGAGGGTGCACGCCTGTCTCCTCTGCACCCAGAGGTGTCGCTCTGGTCCTTGCTGGTCTCCCTGTGAGTAGCTGTGCAGAGTACAGCCTCTCACCTCCTTGGGGTGTTCCTTCTCTGCATGCATTAGATTAGCTTGAGCATGCAAGGGAAAGGGCCGGGGATGTAGCTCAGTGGCACAGCGCCTGCCTGGCAAGTGTGAGGTCCTGAGTTCAATTCCTGGTACCCAAAAAATGCAAGGGAAAGAAATGTGAGCGAGGAGCCCAGAGCCCAGCACTCTGAGCCTTTTCTCCCCCTCCCCAGCCCTCCTCTCAGGCCTGCCTCTCCTTGGTGGAGCTCAAGCAGGCTTACTTCCCCCCAAGGTTGTCACAGACCAATTTTCTAAACTGCATGAAAACAGAAAACAAACAGAAAACTAAATCCACCAAAGCCTGCGACTCAAGAACAGCTTGGCAGGCCCGAGCAACGTGCTAACAATTTCATGCTGTTTTAAGACTTTCTAACTAAGCAACATGTACCAACAACCAGATGTGCTGTGATACCCAGAAAAAAAAGGACATCAGCTTCTAGGGACAGATCCATAAAACAGGAAAACACACATCCAGAAATGTAGCTTCCAAGCAGGCTGGGCCCAGGGGAGGGAGGGAGGCTCTCTGTTGGCCTGCACACGGCAAACCCAAGCACTCAACTCCCATCCAGTTACAGACTTTGCTCATTGCCTTCTTGTGCCAGGCACACAGATATGCTCACAGATACCCATCGTCTTGCAGCACTAAGGCCAGGAAACACATAATCACAGAACAGTATGTCATGCTCCAAAGTGGAGGAGGGAAGCCCAGAAGGGGCCTGACTCAAGGTGCTTCTCAGAGAAGATCTGACTCCGTTTATGTCAACATATACAAGAGATGACCAAAATATACAGTGTTTGATTTTTTTCCTTAATTACAAGCCAGGTGTGGTGATGCAGGCCTATAATCCCAGCATTTGGGAGGCCGAGGCAGAAGGATCGCTGTGAGTTTGAGGCCAGCCTGGTCTACATATAGTGAGTTCAAGGCCAGTCTGAACTACAGAGTGACACCCTGTCTCAAAAAGAAAAAAATAAATACAGTAAAAGGCACCTAGCGGAATCCTTCCCCAAAGACTCCTCCTCACTTAAAACATGCATCCATCAATCTTGTCACTTTCTGAAGCAGTTTCGGAAGTCCTCTTTCTAAGTGTCTTCACACTTAGAAAGCATGGTATGATCAAAACTATGATGAATGGGGAGGGGGAAACTATGGTGAATGCTGCTGTCAAGTGCCATCCAATGGAAAGGCAGGCTCATAAAAACATTGCAGTGTGTCCTCAGTCACCTTCTTCACCAGATCTGGCAACATGGAAATCCTGGCTCTTTCCCAAAGTCAGAGTGACCATGAAAGATAAATGTCTGGAGTCAATTCAGGACATCAAAGCAGCCAGGACAGCGCAACTAAAGGCACTCATGAAAGAGGACTTCCAGAACTGCTTCAGAAAGTGGCAAGAACAATGGAATAAGTGTGCTGAAAGTGGGAGTGGGGTGCTCTGAGGAAGATAAATGGTCAATGAGTCTTTTACCGCAGTGATGTATTTTAATTTAAACATTCGCTGTATTTTTCAATCACACCGTATATCTGGAGCACCTACTATACGTTAAGAACACTGATGGGGAAAAACGACAGTCCTGACTAATAAGGGAGGGCAGACAAATTAGGGAGGGGAGGCCTATTGGTTGCACCTGCAGCAGAAGGGCCCAGCACACTTACTCGGCACCCACCACAGGCAGGATGCTACAGCCAGGCTCAGCGTGCGGCGGACTCCCACCCACCTCGAGCCACAGGCCCACCTCTTGTGTGTGAGTCTATAGCTTGCTAATGGGCCTTACTTTCCAGTGAGATGAGATCATGTCCTGGTCTCTGTCACCAGGGCCTGGCCCAACTCTGGCCAGCAGAATCCAGGGCCCCGAGCTCTGAGTCGCCCCACTGGGGCCATCTCCAAGCAATAGGCTGAGGGCTAACCCAGGATGGAAGGCCATCTGCCATGCTGCCTCATATTTATATCCCGCTCACTTATCTTACCACCTTCTTGGAGGATTCATATTTTTATGATAAGTATTACAGGCTTATGTCATGTAGGTTTAAACTTGATTTGATAAATGTAAACATGGCAGTTACAAGATTTTTGTAATACTCCTCCTCTTTCTCTTCTTCCTCCTTTCCTGCCTTCTCCTCCTCCTCTTTTTTAATATACTTGGAAGCTTTTTTTAAAAAGAGGCAGGCACTGGCCTGGGCCTCTTCTGGCCTGAGAGGTTACTCCAGGTCAGCAAGCCTGCGTCTCAGGGAGCCTCTGCTCCCTGGTAAAAGTCCATTAGCTCCGGCTGACTGCTGTCCTAAAGACAGTGGCCTTCTTTACGAGGCCTATGTTTGTCACCTGCTAACTTGTTTATTGGACCAGTACTGGGATGGGGAGGGAGGGTGGGCGTGAAGGTCACAAGTAGGCGGGAATTGCACACCTCCGCCTCAGCCTCTCCCTAGTCATTATTTTCCCAGAATGATGTGGGGGAGGGGGTGACTGGGGGTAAAAAGTCCTCCTTGAGCTAACACATGACAAGCCAGTACAAAAGAACTGCAAACAGGCCCCTAATTAATGGGTTTGCTTAGAGTTGTTTCCCTGTTTAGGGACTTCATCCCAATAATTGCAGGCTCCATAATCATTAATCAGTCACCACTACCTTTCTCGGGTGCCGACCGCAAGCCCGGCCCTGTGCCAGCAACCATGACAGAGAAGAGCAGAGAACAGGAAGTGTGCTGTGTCACCCACCTCCACTAGGTGCTTCGAGTACCGGAGCTCAGTGATTCCCTTAGTACAGATGGGGAAACTGAGTCTCTGAGAAGTTAACTGGCTCAAGGTTATTGGCTTATAAATGAGGTTCAGCATTTGAACTGGAGTCTTGCCTCCTGGAAAGTAACAGATGAAATGTTCAAAAATGGTACCACAGGCTGGAGATTTAGCTCAGCAACACACACAGTGCCGGCCGGGCAAGCACGAGATACTGAGTTTGGTCCCCGGGACAAAATAACAACAACAGCAACAAACGGTGCCAAAGCAGCGGAGCTCAGAGCTGGCTGCACAAGGCATGTAATAACCATAGGAGCTGGAGAGGGCAGGAGACACAGGGCAGCGGACCCAGTATAAGACCTCCCAACCTCCCAAAGCAGACGTCACATGCGATGGATCCTGATGAGTGGGGAGAATTGCACACATTTAATAAATTGTATTCAAGCACTTTCTCCCATCCCAAGTCCAACACTGGAAGGAACTATGGAATTTGTGCCTCACTTGGGGCCAATAAACATTTACTTAAATGTCCAAAGAGGACATATAGATACACACACGCATGCATGCATGCACACATGCAGACTCACATCAGGAGTCCGAATAGCGCCTGAGCTCAGCAGGCAGTGAGGTATTGGCATCAGCACCACGAGGATTAGGGCACGCGCCAAACTGAGAGGAGACATGGAGCCAGCAAGTCCTGTGAAAACCCTGGGCCCAGAAGGTTGGCAGCTCCCGGGAATGTCTCGTCCAAGCGCCCAATTTAGACCTTGTCCCAGAACATGAGACATGCCAGGGGAGGGGAGAGGGGCCAGGAAATGATGACAAGTCGGGGCCAGCTAAGAGCTGGGCATCTTCTTTCTGAGTCGTGCCAGCCCTCCCTCTTTGGAGCTGGCCCTGCTCAACCCCCAACAGACACTGGCAAGGTGTTCAGAGCCCCAGCTCCACAGGAAGAAATTCACATCACAACCCCATGTAGATCCATCCAGGACTGTTTTCCGAACCCTGGCCACACTGATGTCTCCACCAGGTGGAGACTCAGGAGCTCAGGCCAAAGACTGGGCCTGGTCAGAGGTGGCTAGAGGGGAGAGCTGGCGGACAAAACTACCGCCAGCCCATTCCATAGCAGGCGTATGCACCAACCTGGGAATCCCATGAGGCAAGCTGCTCTTCCCTAGAGCTTAGATAAAAGGTGAGCATGGTCCCACGGCCACCCATGCCCATCCTCCACAGCTCCCAGGACCTAAGACAGTTGTCTATGACAGTTCACACCAGGCCTGCCTTCATCAACAGGCTGTGCTTCTAGACTGGATTCCAAAGTGGACTGCAGGCCTAGAGAGCCAGGCCTACTCTTCCTCCTGTGGGCAAGCCTGACAAGATCCAAGAAACAGCAGTCTGGTCCTAGGGGACAGGCTTGGCGCTCATGCCAGACCCTCGCCAAGTTCTCATAAGTCAAAGCCCAAGTAGCCAGCAAGGCCCAGGCCCAGCCCCACTGACCAATCAGTACAGCCCATCAGCAGCCCAGGCCTCAGCACAAACTGAATGAGGGCTGTCGGATTCGGGGTAACTGCAAGTGAGGGCTCAGGAGGCTCCCCTGTTCTGAAGCTACCCGTCCCCTCACCTGGCTCCTATCCCAATGTTCCACAGAATCTCTGGCTGTCTCTGCCCTGGACTAGGCAGTCAGGGAGGCAAAAGACCCATCTATCATTTTAATTAGCTGGAAGATATTGATGTTTCTCCTGAGAGTCTCCCTCGAGCCACATCTAGGGTGTCTTGGAAAGATGTTCTGGAAAGACTAGTGCTCCATACTGTCTGCCGCCCATCAGGAAGGGACAAGAGAGGACAGACAGGAGGCAGAGGCAGAAGAGCCTGGCTTTCTTGAGCCTTGAATCCCAGAAGAAACACAAAACCAAGTCTGCAACTTTAATTTAAACAGCAGTGATCTATTACTCTGGGAAGATGGTGGTGTCCTGAGGGAAAGTGGGAGACTTCCAAGGAGAGACAGTTCAAAGGAGATTCTTCCAAGGAGCTGGAGCTCTCCTGAGCCTCCTCAGTGCCTGTAGGGTGAGTGTCTGAGGAATGCTCACAGAGGGACACTCACCTCCGGAGCACCCAGAGGAAAGGAGCCAGGGCCTCAGAGCTGACCAGCCTGAGCTCCAGCCTCACACATGCTCCTGGGCTTCTTGTGGGGCCTAAGCAGACAGAGAGTAGGCCAGGCCCAGCTTAGCTCTGATTAGAGCAGGCTGGGGCGATGAGCCAAGATACCCATCCTGATCTTCCTGCATCTTGGTACCCATTCCCAGCAGTGTAACCAGAGGGGAATGGATAGATTAGATACACAGATAGACAGGTCTCTCGCCGTGCACATCTCTATGGCTATGTCCCTACTTCTCTTGCAGGGCAGCTGTCTCTTCCTCACTGTCAGCCTCCCTTGTCCCCTCCACCAGCCCCCTCCCCACTCTGAAGCCAGCAGGAGATGAGCTGCCCTGAGCCAAATGGAATGAGAAACGGCACTTCGACTCTGAACATGTTTCCATGGAGCAGCCTATGCTGAAAGCCAGACACATGGACTTCAGACATTGAACACCCACTTCAGGGAGATGCTATGGCTGCCAATTGGTAAGCCAAGCTTCAATTTCTACTCTCCACTTTTACACCATCTGAGTCACCATCGGCTCGACACCGTCACCTCCAACCCACTGAGCTCCCTGTGCGTACGCAGCCTGAACTGCGTATGCAACAGCTGGAGAAGAGGGCATCTTAACACCAAGGACTTCAAGAGAAGCTGGAAGAAATGAAAGGCCAAGGACATTATCCATATCCAGTGTCTTCTGTGCATCCTCACACCCATGCTAGAACAGCCCCTGTGGGCCCCACCATCCTGGCGGACCTCCTAGGGATGGGGGCCCAGCGAATATGCATGACCCTCTCTACAGATAACAAGAGAAAACTCAAGGCCTAGACAAAGCCCTAATGCAAAGGCAGATTCTCCATTAAAGAGATTTAGGGCTGTCTGTAGAAGAGAGTTGCCAAATAAAATACAGGGCATACAGTTAAAATGAAATCTCAGACGAAGCAACAAATAACTTTCTAGTATATCCCTACCTTGGGACTATTTGACTGTACAGTCATGTTGGAAAGCATGAGAATATCACAGGATGAAAAGGTAAGAAAGTACATTCAGCTCACTTTCTTAACTCCAGTTCTTTCTTCATCTCAGCCCTGGCACAGCCAAGCTCTTCACCGTGGCTTTTCTTGCCCACCTGACCACTCAGATGCTCTGAAATCCCATGACCTCATTGTAAGCCAATGCTTTTGCCCTTTATGTCAGCTGCTGTGACATTAAATTTTTCAAAAAGAACTGTATTAGAAAATCAAAAGAGCATACAAACATTTGCATTCATATAAAAAGGACAGTAGTAATCACGTGTAAGGAATAGCAAAGCCTTGAGACCAGGTAAGTCAAGCCATGGTCTGGTTACTCCGTCTCTTCACCTGTTCTTGGATCTATTGACTTGTTTAAGGTTTGTCAGCTGGTTTTGCTTTCAGTGAAGCTAGACCAACTTTCCAGAACAGGGGTTCTAGCTGACTGCACATTTGAATCACCTAGGAATCTTTTTGCTGCCTCTCCCAGACCAATTAAATCAAAATTTCTAAGTGGAGCTCGGGTATGGGGTAAGTAAAAGCTCCCAAGGTGATTCTAATTCATAGCCAGGGCTGAGAACCCATGCACACCAGAATCACCTGAAAGCCTATTAAAAAAAAAAAAAAACTGCTGGTGCTTGTGTCCCACCCTTGGAAATTCTGATTAATTGGTATGAGGCGTGGCCTGGGCATTGGGAGTTTTTAAAGCTCTCCAGGTGATTTTTAATGTGCAGCAAAATTTGAGAACCACAGCTCCCTGCACTTTAATATACTTCAAATTTCCCAGGGATCTTGCTAGATATTGACTCAGTAGGTCTTGGGTGAGGCCTGAGATTCTGTATGTCTAACAACTGCTGGGTGATACTGTAATGCTGGTCTTCAGACCATACTTTGATTAATGAGGGCCTAGATCAGTGGATCTGAAGCTTGGATGTCCGTTGGAAGTACGCAGAGATCTTTAAAAACTACCTCAGCCTGGGTGTCCCCCAACCCCCAGAGCTTCTGGAAGCCAGGACATCAAGACTATAAAAGCTCCCCAGGTGATTTCAATAAGCAACCAACACCTAGGCATCATTTTACAAGTGGCCCTGTGACACACACACACACACACACACACACCCTTGGGGAATGACTCTCTCCACAAGCTGTTCTGACTCACCTCTGCTCCCTGCCCCAGCAGGCAGAAGATACTTTCTCCCCCTGACTCAAAAGGCTATGCCCTCTAGTAAAAATTCCCTTTCTCCCACATCGCACTGAATATACCCTCTAACTTCCAGCTGAGCTGCAGAAGAAAGATGATTGCCATAGATCCTGAGAGCGTGGCTGGTCTGAGCCCGCCCACCCTGCCTTGTGATTACCAGCTGTTCTCCTTGCTGAAGTGGCCTTCTCCAACGATGCCTCTGCCAAGGAGCCACAAGCTGCAGAAAAGCAAATGTCACCAACAATCACACACAGAGAAAAGACTCTGTGCTTGACAGGATGCCATCCATCAAAGGTGCCCAGCCATTTTCACTGCTTAATAATTCCCAAGTTCCTCTTTCTCCTCCTACTTCATCCCTTTGAAATGGAGTTGCAATGACACAGGAGACAGATGTGGCCTGCAGAAAACCAAAGGGAGAAGATGGAATTAACGAAATGATTACTCAGTTTTTGGTGTAATTTCCATAAAATTATTCATGAGTTTTTTTCCCTAAAGGGTAACCCTAAATGCCACTTGTAGTGAATCTATACCAATAGCTTCTGTCTTCTGACAAGCCCTGTATCTTTTGTTGGAAGGCGGTGTTGCTAGTAGAAATGTGAGTCCACATCTTGGGTGTACAGAGTTTGTGTAAAATACGAACTCTAATGTGTAGAATTTGCAGGTCGCTGAAGTGTCACAGTCTACTGAAATGGGTCTGGAATCAATAAGGTACACATCAAACTCAATTGCATTTAATTTTCTTTGCTACCTAGAGGAAAGCCTTGCACAGCCCTATATGCATGAAATTAAACATGAAAGCCTGTCTAAAGTGTACAAGCAATACTTAAAATGACCTGTAAATAGGGTAAAACATAGCAGCCCAGCCCATTGCAGTATTCTCCTTCCTTTCTCTTGTCACAGTGGGGGTGACAGGCCCCATAAGAAAATCAGAAGAGACACGAGCACATGGCAGATGGAAAGGAGAATTAATGGGGCTTCCCTCTTTGCATACCCTGGCGTGTCTTCCAAGAGGAAAATCACACCACATCTTTCAATGAAGAGCAAAAAGTGGAGGCAACTAAAAAACAAGGCCCTCCTGCTTTTTGCCCCCCTACCCCAGCTGCCCCCATCAGGCCCTAGCTCAATTCTCTGGCCAGTGACATAATGGAAGGCTCAGGTCCCGCAGATGACGTTGGGGGGAGGGGCAGACGCCCACATGCACACTCCCAGCTGACACTGACCTTTCAGTCATGGAAACATTCCCCAGACCGACACTAATCAGGGGCACATCTGGTGCTTGGACTGCGTCCAGATGGGGGTTTGTGTTAGTCAAGTCAGCAGATAACCCGCTGGGGAGGCAGGGGTGGGAGCAGTGCACCTCCTTGGATAGCAGTCCCCGTCTGTGGCTTTGTGTTAGATACAGTCATGCTGTGGCTGGTGAATCACAGGAAGACCACCTAATCCCTTTCCACCCCCTGTCCCTAGTCCACCAACAGAAGACAAGACTGGGTAGGCCCAGAGAGCAAAGCAACCTCCTCCACTCCACAGCTAGCCAGGGATAGTCTAAAGTTCAGTGCCCAGCTCCCCCTTTAGCACGCTCCCCATGTCTCTGCCCCCTCTTGGAGCATAGTGTGAGCTCACAATCACTTGCAAGTTAAAGTGCTGAGAAGCACCCAGCTGTTTCTCCTCATTGAACTTCCCGTGCTTTGCAAGGCATTCAAGGCAATCATTCAAGGCAACCTTGGGCCATCTCCACACCTCACTCCCATCCACCCACCCCAATTCTTCCACTGTGGTTTCCTCTTTGGATTCGGAAGAAGGGGCCACCCTTCCTGACTAGAGCTCAGGCTTTCATCAAAATGAGGCTAGTACCAAATCTCCCATCTCCAGAATAGTGGACTGCAGTGGGGAAGAAGACCTCGTACCAACAAAGATCCAGCCATACGGATCAGAGGCTGAGAAAGGTGACCAGTTCTCAGCCTCTGTCTTTGCAAAGTTATGTACGTGTTGCAGCCATAAACAGCACGCTATGAAGCCAATCAAGGCAACCAAAGCCAGGATAAAAGCGATTGTGTCCCCACCCACACAGAAGGCTTTCTCCAACTGCCAGAGGAAGTTCTTTCCACCTCCCAGCATCACTCTCCTCATTTGTGGGCACCAGATTTCCAGTCTATGACGGTACAAACTTGTCCTGTAGAAGCTCCAGGCACAGATTATGGGGCTCAGGAATCAGATCATCTGCTTGAATCTCAAACTGCTTACCGAGGTATTCTAGTATAAATAATGTCCAACTGCAGATCGATTCATCCTTCTTCCCTTTGTTTCTTATGAATCCATAAATAAGCAGTGAAATAACCTAGGTAAATGCAAGACAGTGTGGTCAATGGTCAGTTTCCAAAGACAAGTCTAAGCTCCTTGTGAACTAATACTCAGCTTGCAGAGTTTTCCAGCCCCTTCTCTTCCCTCTACATCCAGTCTCCACACACGGGCAGCTTTCATCCACCACCAGTCAACTCTGGCCTTCCAGAATAATCAGGGAAAAATACCTTCACTGCAGTTCTACACACATGGATGATCACAATCCCACAGAGCCCTCTCTTCTGATGTCCTATCTGAGGAATGAGCTTTATCCACCCCTGTGGACAGGACAAGAGTACCCGAGCCACAAGAACGACCCTCCACCCTGCTTGAGGGGAAAGCCAGTCAGTTCCACAGTGCTCAGGAAGCCCAGGTCACACTCCACAGGATCTCCAGGATCTGAGAAGCGGTTCACAGACACTGTCACTCTCTCTAAGCCAGTTGGGGTCTGTGCTGGTGCCAGCCATGTTGTGTGTGTGCGTGTGCGTGTGTGTGTTTTCCTCCGCCAGTGATTTGGTACAAAGCCATTTCATGCTCTGTGCCAAACCAGTAATTGGCAGCACTCATCAAAATCTGCCACCATCCACTGACTCAGCATTCTTCTCTCCTGGCCCAGCCAACCTCCCTAACACCCTAGCATCCCAGCCTTCAGCCTCACTGTTTACATCACACGAGGGATTTGGATTTTCAAAGCCCAGTTCCCCATGGATAAAGTACACAGATGACTCATGATCTCTGAAAGGACTTCCTATCCCAGGCCTTGATGTCCACGCCAGAGAGCTCCTCTCTTGGGGCTCAGAGAAGACAGAATTAGGGGTGGGGGTCCTGTTACTGTGGCAACCACTCTGCTGAACTAGAATGCTGCTTCATCCGGGTGTCCTGTGGAGGTTGAGGAAGCTTCCAGCCTGGAGCTGCTGTGGACACAGCCTAGGATCACCATGGAGCGTCACTGCCTTCTCCCAGACCTGTGTCACCCTCCTTCACAGAGGGAGTCAGCCCACCACAGACCAGGGCTCACCAGGCTCACCAGGGCTCCTGAACAGTTTCTTCAGACCAGCTCCAGAGCCAAATTAAACCCTTACTCTATGTCTGTAGACAAAAAGGGTTTTGACTAAATTCCACGTTTGAGAGAGTGAGTGAAATTCCGTTAACGTTTTAAGGGTGGGTGAGAGGATGACAAATAACAACTTGTCTGAATGTTTTACATTTCTCCCCACGGCCTCAGGAAGGTTCACAACGAGGTCATCAGTGATAAGGAGCAAGACCTCCCAGCTGGCCTGCTCCTCAGCCCCAAGAGGACACTCTACAGCGATAAACTGGTGGGGCTTGGAGGCTGCCTCGGTCTCAGAAGAATGGGACCAAGTTTCTGAGAAAGGGAGCCAAGTTCTCAGAGACAGAATACCAAGGAGGGAGACTGGTAAATGGGATGGGAGCAACTCCTGTGGGGGTGGGGAGGAGAAACGGACAGGGTCGTCAGGTAAGATGTACAGCAGGCATGGGGAGATCCAAACACCAAGGCTGGCTGTTAGAAGGCCCTTTAGGCAGAGACAATAAAAATAATAATAATAATAAACTTTGAGGTTTCACTACACATTAGGCACTCTATGTCAAAAGAGTTTCTATTACAAGAACAGAAACCATCACATGCCCATTTTACAGATGAGAAGATTGAGACTTGAAAGGATAACTAAAGACAGAGCTAGAAAGTGAAGTCCTGGATCCGACCTGCAGCCTATATAATCCGAAGGCATACTCCTGACCACTCCTACAGCAAGCAGTGGTAGAAATGGTGACCGTATCCATCGGCCAGTTAAACACTAGTAATGGAGGAGCAGTGGTACTAGTACTAGTTGGGGGGAGTTCTAAGGTTCCAGAAGACAATGTTTGGCTTCAGACTGACCAACAAATTAGTCACTCACACCATGCAGCCCCACCTTCAGGAAAAGCATATCATGACATGCATCAAGAGTGTTTTGCATTCTAGACAAGTGTGGAGTAATATCAGCATTCTGGGAGGCTGAGACAGGAGGACGGAAAGCTTAAGTCCTACCTGAGCATCTTTAGTGTGACTATCTCAGAATAAAAAATTCAAGTGCTATGGATGCTGCTCAGTGCTGACATACTGGATTCAATTCCAGGACTGCAGAAGAACATTCTTAAAAAGTGTTTGCACTTGACGGCCAGATAGAATTCCAACACTCCTACCAACAAAACACAGCTAAGCTTGGTGGGCTGTGCTCAGACTTCTTAGCAGAGGCCTTTGATATCCCATCTGTCAAGCGTGATACCAATCCATAATTTCTCCATTTCTAAGAGTCTCAGAGGAAACAGTAGGTCCTTAGGACACACAGAATATAATGCCAGAGCAGGATGAGGAGGTTCTCATGCACCTCTTTCATACCCAAGAATTTCCTCTAGTTTCCCATACCCTTCCCTCCCCAAATTACCCACCAGAATTTGGCCAAAGGCCTCAAGAAGTCCACAGTGGGGCAGAGCCAGGGCAAGGGTCAGATTTTCTCTTTCAGTTGATTGTTTGCTGATTACTTTCAGCTTGGCCTGGTGCGGCCAAATCCATCACTGTCTACAGGCAGAGGAAAGGGAAAGGGACAGCAACTCCTCAGAAGTACATGTAGGGCATTTCAAGCATCTTGCAGGGAAAAAGGCATGGCAAGTTAAACCAGTGAAGGAGGTGCAGTGGCAGAAAGTTAAGAGATCTAAAGAGTCCCCAAGGTACCAGAAGGACCAACATAGTAAGAGTTTTAAGAGGTGATAAAGGTAACTTGCTGTCAAAGGAGGCAGATATTGCTAAAGAAACAAGTGAAATTAATTCCTTTCTCAAGCTGCCATAAAGGTGAATGGCTACCAGATGGTCAGACAGAAGTACCTGTCCACAGGCTGCTGGAGAGAAAAACAAATGCAAGAAGAAATTGGATCCCCTACAAAGCAGGTGAGCAGGAAATTAAAATATCTGTACCCTGACCACAATGCAAGACCACACACGTTCATGAAGAGGCTGTAAGGAAGACAGCACGAATGTCAGCACTGATCCTCTGCCTGCCAGCCCACACCCAGAGAGCTGGTCACAAACCTCATGGTTGCAGAGGGAAGGACCTTCTAAGAAAGTCCAGCAAAACCAAAAGAGTTGACGAAGAGACAACAGAGACCTGGACCACTCCAGGAAAACCTAGCACACAGCCTAGAGGCATCCCTACTACCTTTTCCTAAGATACTAAGTACTAGGCACTTTGGCCGGGATCCTTCCACGTTATAGGCAGCTCTGAAATGTCTCTCAGTGATTCTTCCCTCCCAAGTAACAACTTTCCCTTAAGTGTGGGCTGGACCTATTGACTTGCCTCTAATGAATAGAATATGGGACAGATGATAGGATGTCACTCCCATCCAAAAAAAAAAATCTCCCCACGGAAATAATGGTACATGGAAGTAATCCCAGTACTCTAGGAGTCTGAGGCAGGCAGATCACATGTTCAAGCCCAGTCTGGGCAATTTAGCAAGACCTTGTCTCCAAAGAGGGACATAGCTCAGCGTGAAGGCCCAGGTTCAATCTCCAATACCACAGAAAAAACAAACCAGAAACGAAACAAAAAAAACTTCCTGAATTTGTGCCCCACAGACGCCCATCTCTGCCCCTGATTTACCTCTTTCAGGTCAGACTGTGGCCATCGGTGACTTATTTTTCATCCTCTCTCCCCATCACCCTTTCTACGGGCTTGTTGCTACATTCTTCCTAGAACACATTCACACACACACACACACACACACACACACACACACACACACTCGCACCAGGAGTAGGAGGGACCTCAGCCTCCTCTTGCCATTATTCAGCTCCTTCCCAATCAATCTCCTGCCAACCACAAATTAGCATTACACAGGCATTTACAGTGCGGTCCTGGGGATAGATGGAAGTTGCTAATCCTTCAGAAGGGGCACCGGTACAATGGTGAGAGGCCCACAGCCTCCCCACCCAGGGGGTTTTCCTTTGCAGCACTCCCAGCTCTTTTGTGAGCTGTCCCAGTCAACCACAGATGGTGCAGTGGAGTCGCAGGGCCTTGAGCAAAGTGGAGACAGAGAGCCCAAGGGACACCATGACTGGCTAATGGCGGCACAGCAATCGTCCCTGAGCACTCAGCTCTTCCCAGGCAGAAGGCTGCTGTGAGTTGCTGACTTCTCAGAGCTTCCTCCTGATCTTTGCACACCCTTCCCTCTGCTTTTTCCCACTACTGAATGGCTCCAGGTGGGACACACACAGGGCATGACCTCCTCCAGGCCAGGCTGTGGTTCTAAGCTGCCCAGAACTTGGCAGAACTTGGGTGCGGGGTGCGGGGGGGCTTTGTGTTTTGTTTTGCTTTGTTTTGTTTTGTTTTTTAAGGGATCGATTTGGCCTTCTGAAGTGTGATTGCAATTCCTGATCCCAAAGGAAGGCAGCCTCTGCTGGGCTCTCAGGGCCATTCTGATTCCCATCCTGTCCCTAGTCCCCTGGCCCTGCACTTGCTGCCGTTCCTGCTGGCTTACAAAGCTGGCTCTAGCCACAGCCTGCTCAGAAGCTCCCAGCTCAGCTGTGAGCCTTATCCTGCAGCTGGCTCTGGAAACCAGGGGAGCCTGCGAGGGGGGAAGGCTCTTATCACAAACATTTCCTGCCTATTCCCTCCCGACCCTGCATACCACAGCCCTTCCCTGGCTCTCTGGGCCACCAACGCAGCCACACAGCACTAACAACCTCTTCACAAAGAATTTGCAAGGCACAGTCCACAGGATGTCTCTACTCCAGCTTCATTGCCATCTGCAAGGATCTCAGAGGCTCTGACGGGCCACCCAAAGGTTCAGTCACCAAAACTCAGGAAGTCAGGTAGAACCTGCAGGAAGAGGACAAAGGGCTGGCAAAGGTTTGTACTTCACTCCACTTTGTTTTGTTTGGTTTGGTTTGGTAGTGGGGGGTTGAACTCAGGTCCTTACCCTTGCAAGAGTCAGGTAGCAGCGGAATCACAGAGCTAAACCCGCAGCCCAAGGGTTTCTACTTCAAATAGAAGCAGTGACTCACTGTGGGAGCTTTGCCCACCTCCTCTAGGACCCCACCACTCTCAAAACACACAGAGTTGGGAGACAGCCACACCCATACGAGCACCCTGCGCCTGTCCGCAGCCTCCAGGGTGCATGCACCTCTGCGCTTCACCAGAGGTTCCAGCATGCGGCCTCTGGTTAGGGTTTGTGAGCCAGGGCACCAGCCCAGCCCAGCCCAGCTGTGCACAGCAGGTCAGTGAGTTCCCGGCCCTCCCCTCCCCACACCTGGGGCACCCTAGTCCCACCCCTCCCCACAGACCACACCGCCCTCTCTGCCTCCTGCCCCAGCTTTCTGTGTGGTCTGAGCCCTCTGCCACCAGAAGAGCCAAGGAGGGAGGGATGGGCCTGCATGTTTACACTCAAGCATAACTGAACCTTTATTTTAAATAAATACAACGTTTAGCCAGTTTTTATTTCCCTTTATTTCAAATAGCAGTTTTCTCCCTCTTCCCCCACCTCCTCGTGGCTAAGGCTTTATCGGTGGGGCCACCCAGGGAGGGGTCATGGGAGGCAGGGACAGAAGCCAGCCTGACTGATTCTTAGTGTCTTCTCAGACCAGTCAGTCTCTCTCTCTCTCCCTCCCTCCCACAGAGCCCTGTGGTTCTTATGGGTTCGGGCATATCCATGCTCGAGGAAGAATCAAACAGGAAGCCCGGGCTCCACCGTCAGCACGCTCGAGGCTGCCCATCTGCTCCCCCAATCCTAGGCTTGCCTGCCCCCATTCTGCCACCCCACCTCGAGACTGCTCTCCATCTGTCTTCCACGCTGGCCTGTGGTCTCTCTGACTCCCCCGTTGGAGCCTCGTCCATCTGTTCCTCCCACAGGACAACCCTCTCTGTCTGCTTCGGGCCATTGTAGATCCGACTTCCCCAGGAGATGTTCCATCTGCCCATCACCCGACTGGGCTGTCCTTCCACCCAGTCCCCTTGGTCACACTTTCTTGTCCATCTGCCTCCATCCACTGCTCATAGTTTTGCCCATCTGTCTCCCTGAATGGAGTTAGCACTGCTAGGTGGAAACCGTTGGGATTCCATTCCACAACAATAACCGTAGCCACAATCAATTGTCTACGATGTGCTATGCATTGTACAGTATGCACCTCTGCCCTTGACTCTGCCAGCAGTGCCCTGAATGTGTGTGTATTTCCTCACTGTACCTATAGGGAAACTGAGGCTCAGAAGGGTTAAATAGCGTGTCTGAGGTCACATAGCTCCCAGGGGCACATGCAGGGTATGGAACCAGCTTTGCCCATATGGAATGAGGGCCAGGACACAGTCTCCCTATTCCTTGGACCCAGGATATAGGACTCAGCCTCCCTGGGCCTCTTCTACATATTTAATTTACACTTTGCTGCTGGATGTTTTCAGACTGATGAAGTTTCCTCCCTGCCCCGGCTCTACACAAAAAAAGTGAGCAAAGAAAAAGCAGCCAGATGTGAGAGTGATTCGAAGGTCTTTTTTTGAGGATGGGGAGTGATGTTAAATAAACACCCAATGGTATTCTTTCTGCAAAACGATCCATTTTCATGGCACCCAGAAGTTCATCCAAGGGTCTCTGGGTCACTGGGGAAAAGTGTTCCGTGTGTTTTGGCTCCATACTCTTCCACTGGCCACAAAGAGCTAATTCTTCCAATTAATGAAATCAGCACCACTGATGGGGATGTACTGACGATTACTTTCAAGACGAATATATTCACACCAATAGTGGGGCTGATGGGCCCAAGGGATTTGGAGGCTACAGGACAAAGGTTCCCCAGCAGCTAGAGACACTGAGTCATTCATGGTGGCCAGGATGTTGGCCACCGCCTCAAGGGACACCCCTCTCTGCCCGGAGCCACAGAGCCTGGACTGGGTTCTGTGTGATGAGGGGCTGCCTATCAATGGGCTTCTGTATGGCCTTGCCAGGTCCCCAGCACCCCACCCGCGTGCCCGAGCCATGGCCCCGTCAGAGCCGGTTTGAAGGCCCTATTCAGCACTTAGGATTCTCTAATGGGAAGTGCAAGAGAGACAAGACGCTTCCATGGAGCTGTGGGAAAGCTAGAGGCCCAGAGAGACGAGACGAAGGAAAGCCTGAAGCCACAGGGAGGAGCCCAGCAAAGAGAAAGAAGTCCAGCTAGAGGCTCTGGAGGATGCGAAGGAAGAAGGGAGGGGGAGTGGGTAGGAGAGCTAGAGAGGGAAGGCGGGAGGCTGGAAAGAGGCCCCCAGGCAAAAGAAGAGTCCTCAGTGGGAGGCTGACCAGTGCCAAAAAGTAGTGTGGAATGTTTTAAAGTCACAGATGTAAATGATGATGTTTTTCTCAGACTGCTATTAGCAGCATTTTTCATTCACTAAGCAGATGCACCGGCTATGGAAAAGTGACCTTGGTTGGGGATTTAGCTCAGTGGTTCTGCCACCTGCCTTGTACCAAGTTCAATCCCTGGTACCAGAGAGAGAGAGAGAGAAAGGAAGGTGATGCAGCTGCGCTGGGAGACCAGACCCAGCCTAGGTGTGCACAAGCCCACAGGTAGGGCCAAGGTCAAGCCAACATTTCACCTCCTTTTCTACCCTCTAGAGAATAAGGATAGAAGTTGCTCCACCAGTGCTGTAGGAGGAGAAAGAACAGCCTCTAGCAGCTCTGATGAATACGTGATCATCATCGGAGGCCACGGGTTAATTCACCCCTGTTAATTTCTCCTATGGTTTCTGCTTTCCTGCCTGGACCCTGATGGAATCAGAATTCTGAGCTTTGAGGGCCACAAGTGCGGAGTTTAAGGAACCAAAGCCCAAACTTTCTCCAGAACATCTTACTCTATCACCACCAAATTTCCTAAAGCCTCACTTCCCTGCTTAAAATCCTTCTGAGTCCGAGGTTTATCTCTGAGCCAGGGAACTCCGGCCCTCTCGAGTCCTGCTGTTCAAAGTGTGATCCAACACCAGCAACCCTGGCATCACCAGGGGCATCTTGTCGGGTCTGCTCAAGCAGAAGCTGCTTTTACCAAGCCCTTCAGGCAGCTCCTGTGTTCCTGATGATATGAGAAGCCCTGCTCCTGACTGCTTCCAACCCACCGAGGCTGACTGCAACTGCCCATCAGCTGGATAAAGAAGATGTGGTTTGTTTATAAAATGGAGTACTACTCAGCCACAAAGAATGAGAAACTAGAGATATTTGTAGCTAAATGGATGCACACTGAGGCCATACTCTTTAGTGAAATTAATAAGTCACACGTGTAAATACCGAATAGTTTCTCTGATGAAAAACTAAAAGTGTAAATAAGGATCAAAATGTATAATTGATATTTCATAATAAGAAGAAAGGTCTAAATGAATAGAGGAAGTGGGAGGGGTAGAGGAAAGGTAAAAAGGGAAAAGAAAAAAATATGAGTAAAGGAAAAACATGGAAACAAAGTCTTTGTAAACAGGGAAGGGTGGGGGGGTGAAGGGAGGGCTGGGGAATGGGGAAAAATAAGAACCAAGATAAGTCATGAAAAGGTACAAGATCCCAGTGATGAATATAACTGTATCATATACCTAAAATGTACCGATTAATTTAATTTTTTTTTTTTAAAAAGCAATTTGCCAAAGACACTCTCCACCTTTACAATTCCGGCGTTGGTTCATGACATCCCTCTGGAAGATGCTTCCCCTGGTCCCCACTTATAGAAATCCCAACCCACATCCTAAGTGCCCTCCCTTCCAGAAGGCTGCCCTTCCCACCTTGTCCCTCCCTTGCCAGAGGGCACAGCTCCTGTGGCAGTTTGTTTGAGTCACCTATGGATGCTTTTGCACTTTCTGCCTCACATTTTGGCTACTCACGTGCTTGTCAAGGGGGGGGCATTACTCAGTCATAGGGACTTTTGTTCCCCTGTGATACCAAGCAGGTACTTCACCTCCCTAGATCTCAGCTCCTCCCTCGTCTGTAAAATGGGGATAATAACTGCAGCTACTCAGAGTTGCGTGGACTCCTTATAAATATATTTATTGAATGCCTATGTGCCAAGCAACAGAGACAAGAGTGTGACCAAAATCAGAGATCTCTGCTGTCATAAAGAGGTATAGCCCTTATAAAGTATTTAATACATAGTGAGTTCTCAGTGACCTTCACGCATCTTTCCATTGACTCATTTGTGTAAGGCCGTGACCATACTTTATGCTTCTGCAAAGACACATGTGTGTTGTCTCGCCAACTCCTAAGACAGCTTAATAAATGGTGGGGGACTGAATGAAATGACCCAAAGAACAGTGTTCTCACTCGCACAGTAAAGGAGAGATGCTATCCATAAAACCCAGTTACCCAACATGACGCAGCCTTCTGAGAGCTGACAGATGGTTTTGTGCCCCTTTTCCTAAAGTGACAACTGGTTTACTTGTTCTTAGTGATGACTGTGGTTGTCGTGTTTCTGGTCCTCACTGGTTAAAGTCCCGCTCCCTTCACCTGGTTCTCACACAGTCCTTTCTGCTCCACTCTCCTCTGAAAGCATCCCATTTTCTTTTGGGCATCTTTTTGTTTTTTAATTTTGTTTTGTTTTTTTAAATTGTTTTTTTGGTACCAGGGAACGAGCTAGGGTCCTTGAGCTTTCGAATTAGACAGCGGAACCACTGAGCCAAATCCCCGGCCCATGGGCATCTTTTTACCTATTTAACTGGCCATAAGTATTTATTTGGCTTTAATGTCTTTCTATAACTTAACGATCTTATTATTAATACTTTTCTGACTCCCCCAAAAGTTTCTTTCTTTAAAGTTCTCATTCTGTGTTTTCGTCTCCAAAGGAAAACTTTGACTGGATTTTCTAACAAGAATGACACAATTCTTTCCACAGCTATGCGAAAGGGGAATTGGAAAACCAGTAGAGTCACATTTGCCCTGCTCTGTCGCCTTGATTCTAACCCCAGAGAACCGCTGATGGGCACAAGTCCCTGCCTCTCTCACTGGCCATATTTCTCAATGCTATCTCTGTGGAAAATGTTCTCTTTTCTGGTTAAATCCCAACAGAAAGTGGAATGAATGCTATAAAAGAAATCCATTCAAAATGAAGGTCACTCCAGAGTTCCATTGCCTTGCATTACAATGGCCCCTTATATAACATTGTTTTTCTTCAGACTCAATTATGGTACTTTTTATTTTGATCAATAAGCATTTTCAGTTTCCACTGAGAGTCAAATGTGGTGACCTGGTTTGGTTCAGATGCAATTCAAACATTGCCTGGCTCCCTTGGTTGTATCCATCTATAATTTGCATGTTTCAAACTTCTTTTTATTGTCAAGGGACAAAATATTGTTCATGCAACCAAGCTCCCTCCTCGCCAGTAGGAAAAGATTTTCTTTCCTTTGCCCCACTCACCCTAGCTTTAAGAAGGGGGAAAAGACAATTAAAGCCAGAAGTCTGGGATTTCAAGGGACTGAAGGGAAAGGGGACCTCGGGCAAGCAGGAATGTGATCTCCATGGGAAATTTCTGAGAAGACACCTGCGCCTCCGTGGGTCCTAGAGGAGCAGCCTCAGGGAGAGGTACCATCATGGTGGAAAGCCGGGCACATAAGTAGAGCCCCAGTAAGGAAAGAAGGCTGTGTACCTGCAGGAAAAGGACATCCGGGAACTTTCAAGCCCCGGGAACAGGCGCAAAGCTTCCAGCTTGAGCAGACAGCTCAGAGTATCTGTTAACTCACAGACTGAGGCCCCATTCTGCTAAGAGGGCAGAAGTAGCCAGGTGAGCCTCTGCTGCGCAACTCCGGGGACCTTTGGATTAAGTCTCAGAAATGTGCATTGGAGTCTCCTAGAAGGGGAAATTCTATCCAGTAGGAGGAAGGATAGAGGAGTCATCAAGGTAGAATCTGAGTGTGACAAAGATATCAAGAGGTTCCCACTACTGTCTTGGTCGAGGAACTAAAACAACAGTCAGTCTTTAGATCACAGAGGCAGAAGCAACACTCCCACCAAACTGCTGCTTGGGGCCTCCTTTCCAAGAGAATCAGAAGAAGGCCCCCCACACACAATGTTGTGGCATCCATCATCTTGCTGGGGTAGGGCTGTAGCTCAGTGGTAGAGCACGTGCTTAGCATGTGTGAGGCCCTGGATTCGATTCTCAACCCCTCAAAAGTCCTTGATATTCAACCATCAAACAATGAGAAATCTTCCAATCTTGAGCAAATCTTACTCCCAGACACAACTGGGTCACAGAATCCCATTTTAGCATCCAAGTATGCAATCTCTCCCCATTCGCTCTGAGTCTGCTACCAGACTATGCTGCTCCATACCTTCATCTACATCCTCCATTAGCATTAGCATGGACACAAATATACTCAATACCACTGAGATACAAACAGTCCCAAGACATGGCCTCTGTCCTTAGAAGTGTTTTGTTTTTGTTTGGCTGGTTGGTTTTGATTTTTTGAGACAGGGTCTCACTGCATAGTTGAGACTGACCTGGAATTCACTATGTAGCTCAGGCTGGTCTCAAACTCACAGTGATCCTCCTGCCTCAGCCTCCCGAGTGCTGGGATTACAGGTGTGCACCACCATGCCCGGGGATTGAACCTGACATTTATATATTTTTTTTTGTATATATATATCCCCCCGCAAGACAAGGTCTCAGTAAATTGCTCTAATTGACCTCAAACTTGCATTTCTTCTGCTTCAAGCTCCTGAGCACCCGAGATTATAGGCAGGATCCACCAGGCCCCACTATGATTAAACTTTTGAGAAACATTGGGCTGCTTGTGGTAACCAGCCTCCAAGAGAGTCCCCAGCTCCCCTACCCTCCTGGTAGTCATAATCTTGTGTACTCCTCTTTTACATTGACTAGGGCTGACATGTGTAACTAATAGGATTTGTGGCAATAACGGTGTACGACTTCTGAGGCTGGAACATAAATGACAGAGCAACTTCCACCTTGCTGTCTCTTAGATCACTCACTCGGAGGATAAAAACTTTCAAGAAGCTCTACTCTTTGGGGAGACCCGTTGGGGAGGAAATGAAACCTCTTTCCTGCAGCCACGTGACTGGGCCACCTTAGCAGCAGGACTTTCAGAGGACTTCGTCCCAGCTAAGATCATGCCTGCACCATCAGGAGAAACCTCAAGCCAGAACCACCCAGGAAGCTGCGCCCAAATTCCTGACCCACAGAAACTGGGTGAGACAATGTTTACGATGGTCTTACACCACTATGTTTGGGGGGGTAATTCATTAAGTGGCAATAGATAATGAATACAGTGTTTCGTGTTCATTTCCCATTGAATCCTTATGACCGTCCTATTGTGTATTCATTATTGTTCCAAACTTACAAAGGAGGAAGTTGGGTTTTAGAGAGGCTAAAGCAGGAGACAAAAAAATCAGAGCCAAAGCCTGAATCTACCAAACTTCTAAGCCTGAAATAAAATGGTTTGGGTGGAAATGTAGACACACAGGGAACAGAAGGTCCCAGTGGGAGAAGCAGTGAGCTCTGCCTGGGAAATCTGGAGCTGTGGGGGAAGAGGAGTCAGGAAAGACTCCTTAGAAAACATAATGCTTGCAGCGAAAATGAGGGGAGAGCAGATGTTCAGCAGGTGGGACACGGAGAGAGGGGTTCCCTGGGGAGCAGCTGCAGTGGAGATGTGTGAGGTGTCGAGAGCCTGTCAGGGGTCTTTGGACCAGGAAGAACTTAGGCTAGTGTTGGCAAACCTTTTAGAGACCGAGTGACCAAACTGTGACCAAAAACTCACTTATTTATCACAAAGTGCCAACACTGCAGGTATGCTTGAATTGAGTTTTCCTTTAGAAACACAACGCCGCGTGGCATCATCACAGAGGGGCTCTGTGAGCCTGCTGTGTGGCACACATGCTGCAGGTTCACCACCACTACCCTCAGCAGTATTGCTAGTTTGCCAGGGAAAATCTGGTGCTAGCCCAAGAGCCGCTCTTGCAGTCACAGGACCACCAAGATCACTGTAACCGGCACCTGTTTTACGAACTCGATCCCAAACTGTTGCTCTTGATTAACTCAAATCCCCTTTATGCCCCACCTTTTTTTTTTTTTTTTTTTTTTTTTTTTTTTTTCCCCCCCTTTTTTTTTTTTTTTTTTTTTTTTGTCAGTATTGGAGGTTAAACTCAGGTCCTTCACACTGAGTGACATCCCCAGCCCTTTTGTATTTCTTACTTTGAGACAGGGTCTCAGTCACCATGTTGCCCAGCTGGGCTCAAACTTGTGATCCTCTTGCCTCAGCCTCTCAGAGTCTGGGGTTAGAGGTGTGCCCGTCATGCCCAGCTAGGCCCCCACTTCTTCAACAGAAGGGTTCTCTTCTACAGATTTGGCTTCCTGATGGGCTTGATATGTACCTCCGTTCTTCCCAGCAGGCAACGCTTGCTCCTCACAGAATTAGTTATGATATTTACATTTGCCTTCACTACCTATGTCTTATCTCCCGCAAAATATCACATGACCCTCACTTTTTCCTTTAGCAGGCCTACTAGAATGTGGCAAATCAGGGAGATTCAGAGGACTGAGTGTGTTAGATTTCAGAAAGGTGCTGTCTTTCCTCCAAAAGGCCTTCTGGTGCCCTGCAAATTAGAGAAGTACAGTATGGGAGATGAGTAGCTAGTGTAATATCCACACACAAAGGCCACTGACCACAGGTGGATGTCAAGTTCTACAACACAGTCCATGTTGACATGACCAATGACTCTGCCCTCAGCCTTCTGCAGACACATTTTTTTTTTCCAGTACCAGAGATCGAACTCAGAACCTTGCACTTGCCAGGCAAGCGCAGCACCACTGAGATACATCCCAGCTCTAGGCAACACCTTTTAAACCAGTAACTTGATTGGAGATGTAGAAATGAGGTTTATCAAATTACCTGGTGTCTGAAACTGGGTAACTTTCAGGAACCACCCAAGTTGGCAGAACCAAGAGCCGCCTGCCTCTCAGAGGGCCAGTGTCAGCCACATCCACGGAGGTGAATCCAGCTAGAAGGCAAGGTCCTTCACTGCACAAATGCATTACGGAGATTTGTGATCCCGTGATAATTACAGAAGTTAAACAAGAGCACCGATGTGGCTTTCTGATGAGTAGGGGAAGGGAGGAGTAGCAGTTGGGTTCTGGAAGCTCACTGCTGAGATCCTGTGGCCCGACTACCACCCCGGGCTCTTTTACCCACCCTACTCCATTAAATGTGTTTGACTTCCCAGAGCCTAGCCTGCCCTCCCCCCAGACCGAGTCCACAGCCCTAGAAGGGAATGAGAATGCTGAGTGCTGAGGTTAGGAAGAGCTTGGGAAGGAACGCTCTCTCCCTAGCCTTGCTGATAAGGCTAAGAGCAAAGCTAGCTGACAAGTGATTGGAAACAGGAGTTCCCAAAGCCTTTAACCTTGCCCTGCCCCCACCCCCCGTGCGTGCCGGAGTCTCCGAATGGGAGGCCATCTCCTCGCGCTTCCGTATCTGCATCATGGCTCGCTGCCTCCCCACCACCGACCTTTCTGCCCACCTCTCTTCGTCCTCATAGGTCCCTGAATGCTGTCCTGCCTAAAAAAACACTCTACCCTGACCGCCAAAGGCCACCCTACAAGTCAGCCAGAGAGTGTCCCCCTCCCAGTGGCCACTCCTGTGCTCCTCGGGGACGCAGTTTTACCAGGTAAAGGTTGCCTCTGTTATTGTTTGTGGGTTCCCAGTCTGAGGAGCCTAAGCAAGGGCCATTCTTTGCTGCCCTGGCTAGCTGTGGAATTCTGCTAGCGGCCTTCAGGGGTCACCCCAAACCAGACGGGACTCTGTTCATTCGTCCCAAAGGGCCTAGGTACTGCCTGCTTCATGGACAGGCCTCTCACGGGGACAGAGGACGGAGGGTCTGTGCCCAGCAATGCATAACTGAAGCTAAGGGGCAATTGGCCTCGCTTATCCTGAGGTGGGAGGGCATTAAGGAAAAACAAGGTTTAAGAGCCACAATAATTAAGTGTAAAAGAAGCTTCCTTCAGTAGAATGGAATTCAGATAAACTGCCATTATCATGCAAAGCAGATTTGCACCTTAAAGCCCTTACCCAAACAGGCAGTTTAATTAAATCCCTAATCTCCCCTGGCCTGTTCTGACCCCTTCCCTCCTCCCCTCTCCCCATTTCCCTCCACCCACCCACCAACAGCCAACTAAGAGATTACATTTAAAACCTGTAAGTATGTAAAGCATACCCAAAACTGGTGGGCCTTGGGATCTCTTTGAAGGGCTGGTTGCTGTGTTTGGGGTGTTAGCTCCACATGGCTCAGGCAGTCCCAAGTAGGATCCTGGGTGCCAATAGCAACGGTGAGCACGGCAGTGGTGATGCAGCGGTCAAAATCCAATGAGGGGAGCGGGCATCATGCAACCCCGCTGGCTTCTGCCAGTCCCCTGAAGCTTGATGACCACCTATGATCCAGTCCTTGTCCTCAAAAAGTCAGCACCCTCACTACCCACAGACGGTGGATGGCAGCCCTAAGGATGAGGGGGGCAGACGCTGGTGCTGATCCAGAGGAGGCAGTGATGGTGTCCCTGTGTCTGAGACTGCACGGGCTCCGTGTTGTGAACACTGGGACCGACACAAAACCTGGTGGTGAGGACCAAGTAGGCTGGGGAAAAGCCAGCCCAGGATCTGCTGTGGGAAGAAGGAGAGGTCAGGAAAAGAAAAAAGGAAATGAATGAGCTGGGAGTGGCAGGACTGGGCACGCTGCTAGAGAAGGACCGGTGAATGCTTTCCAGTGTCTACATTGTGCTTTAGACCCTAGCGCCTTCCTACAGGGAAAGAAAGAACAGAATCACATATCTAGTGCCACATGTGTTCCACTTTAATCTTGTAAAGTAGTCGCATTCTCTTTTTTTTTTTCCCACTAGAGGAAACTGAGATGCAGGGAGACGAAGTGACTTGCCCACCAGCACACGGCCTGTGATCAGCAGAGCCAGGATTCCAACACCGGCCTGCCTTCCTGAAAATGGATGTTCTTTCTGCTAAACCACAGATCAGCTTCAGGGATTATCATGTGGAAGAGGGGGATTAGCCACCCAAGGATACTCTTCATCGCATTGCCGGCCAAACTCCATCTCTTTTCCCACAACCAGAATAGTTCCATGAAGCAGCCCGTCTCGTCCGAGCAGCCCTCAGCCCTGAGGAAGATGCAGGACAAGGGATGGGGCATGTGCAAGCTTCCTGATGCTCAATCCTCAGAGGATGAAGAGTCCCAGAGGAAATTTCCCTTTAGGAAAGGAGTGTTCTGGCCATGGTGGGGGGAGGGTACATCTGTAAGTCATATAACAAACACCAGACCTCTCCATTTTATATCTCATTCCTTGGGTGGGGGCAAGCAGAAGAGCCATCTCTATTTGGGAAACAGTGAAACTCAAATCACTGTGAACCCTGCACTTTTTCTGTTAATTGTGTGGACTTCGCTATGCCTGGAGAATGCATGAGCCTTTTTTAAAGGAAGTTATATTTCTGGAAATATGACTCTCTGGATTCATGAAACCCTGTTTCTTGCGGGATTCCCTACTTCCTTGCTTTGTGGGTTTTCCTTGCAAAGAGTAGGAACTCTTTGGGGAGGTTTCAATAACTCTTATGGATAAATGAGTGAAGTGGAGCCAGGAGCAGGGGAGGCAGCACAATACCCAGCCCAGTGATGGCAAAACTTTTAGAGCTTTTAGTCCAGGGATTTAGCTCAGTGGTTCCGCCGCCTGCTTCACAAGCACAAGGTCTCAAGTTTGATCCCCAGTACCAAAAAAAAACCCAAAAACTTTTAGAGGTTTTAATGATACAAACAGCCCGCTGCAGCACACACGCCATAGGTTCACTGCCTCCATTGCTTCAGCCCAAGGGAGCAACCAAGCCTTTCAACCTCTTTCCCCAGCGGGTCTGCCCCATGGCCTAATGAGGACCCTGTTCCAAGCCAGAGGTCCTTGGGAGGGGGCTCACAGGTGAGTTCAGAACGACAGCTCAGGACTAAGGAAGCCTCAATGGCTCCAGGGCTGATGTGGGTGGATTGAGATTGTGGAATTTTGGAGAAGATCTGTTACAGGGTCCTTTGCCTCTTACTGCAAAGACAACAGGGAAGAATTTTAAGAGGTAGTCTTGTTCTCCAGAACCTCTCTGGAAGCAGACGTGTCTGTCAACAGGTTCCAGGGCTGGCCCCAGAGGCCCCAGACCTGGGATCCCTATTGGAATGCAATTATCCTAAGTGCTTGCTGTTAGGATGAAAAGGCAGGAATGTGATTATAGAAGGAGCAGGCGGTGAGCTTTCATTGATTAACCTGTTCTGTCTGATTCCGTTCCCCACCAGGATGATTTGGGGAGTGGATGGCTGCCCTATGCCCTTGGGTTATTAGAAAGGAAAACAGTCACTGGCTGAAAGTGAAGCCTGAAGCAAGGTTCAGGAGTGCCTGAGGACCCTGAAATTGCCTGGGGACTGTGCATATTTCTAGGAAGAAGTTTTACAAAACTGAGCACTTGCTCAAATGGATCTGGGACCCTGTTACAGGGGTGAAAGATTAGAAGAGTGGTCAGAAGTTCCTGCAGATTCTAACTCCAAGGGGCCACAAACCACCTGTCCAATTCTGGCTCCACAACTTAACAGTAAGTTGCTTAGTCTCTCTATGCCTGAGTTCATCTGTAAAATCAGCATCCTGGGGTTGATGAGAAAAGTAAATAATATATAGACTGTAAAGCTCTGAGACCAACAACTAGTCCTTAGTGAACTCTCAATAAATAGGACCATTTTGATGAGGATGGTCTACTCCAGTTCTGAAAATAAAGTACAAGATGTACCCATGCAGTCCTGAGTGTTTTTTTTTTTTTTACCTCAAACGCACGGCCTCGATTCCATGGGAACCCCCAGGCAAGATCTCACTCTAAAATTGAGCAGGACTGTGAGCCCCCGGCTCTCCAGAATGGTTACTCCAACCCTCCCCTATGGGGTGTTTTCCCCCAGAGGCACTAGGATGTGGCAACGGTGGAAGTGGGAGTGGAGTCGCTACGGTGAGGAGCTGCCTGGGCTCAAGCTGGGGTCATCACCAGACGGCCCCACCAGGGAAATTTCTGGCAATCTGAATCCTCAAAACATTCCTGACTATTGGAACAAGCATAGTCAAAGTTTGGGTTGACATCCTCACCCCGTCAAGCCTACAATAGGACTAACCAGAGACCCACCATTTGCCAATGACCAGTGTGGAACTAAGAAAGCAAAAAGCCAAACCTCTCCTCCCTGCTTTCCCCCTCCTCCCAATCCTGAGAGCTCCCATCTCTCAGATCCTTCTATCCCAGCACCAGTGCTCCAGCCTCCTTCCTCCAGCAAACCCCAGGCAACCCCAGGCTTCTGCTCCTGAGGTTTGGTTTTGTTTTGTTTTGTTTTGTTTGCACCTCGGATTGAACTGGGGTCCTTGAGCTTGCGAGGCAGATGGCGAAACCAATGAGCTAAATCCCCGGCCCCCCTGCTTCTAAGTCCAAGCTTTCCGCTCCTCTGGGATCAGATAAGAGATCCCAACTCCACCAGGGAATTCTAGCAGTAAGGGCTATGAGAAGATCCTTACTCCGAGGTTCCGAGGAAAGAATGAACCCAAAAAGTAGACAAGAAGAGCTGGCTCCAGGTTGAACATTCATTTATTCATGAATCCTTCATCCCCCCAACCATCAATCATTCATCTGCTTACTTAGTCATTCGGTTTGTACCTCTTCCTTGCTTTGGTTGTCACACATGTGTGTCTATTTCTGCTTTGATCTGCCCCATCTCCGTGGCAGGTGCACAGCAGAAGCCTTCTCATGCATTTTGCAGGGTACCTGGTTGAGAAGGAATCTCCCTCTGAGGATCCTGAATCATCCAAAGGGACAGTACAGAGCTCTCCCAGCCTGCAAGGCCCCTTCCAAAGCAAGATCCACACTTCTGGTCCATGGTCAGTGGGAAGGCTTGGGAGAGGCTACAGAGGGGTCTGCAGGCCTACACAAGGAAGAGTGATTAGTCATGCCCCACTGTGTGTGAGCTCTGGCTGTTTGGAAACCATTATTCTCATCCTCCCGGTGGGGCAGGGGACTGCAGGAGACCTTGAGCCCTGGGCCTGGCTGTAAGCGCTGAGCTCAGCACTGTGGGGGGCCCAGAGGACCCGGTGTGGGGGGATCTGGGGCTGCAGTTTTAGAGTATAAACTCTTAGCCTCCTGTCAAGTTTCCCAGTTTCCCTCCACCCTACCACACTTCACCCCCTAAAGTCTACTCCCAGCCAGCAGCTGGAGGTCCTTTAATGTCTGTGACATCATGTCCCGCCTCTGCTCACATCGCTGCTCTCTGACTGCCGTTCACTCAGAGCAGGAGCCCAGTGTGACTTGGCCTGGTCCGCCTCATTCCCGACTCCTGCCTCCCTCCCTCCAGCCCCAGCAGCCTCATCCTTTAACTGGCGAGCCACATGCCTGCCTTACAGCCTTGATAGAGTCCTGGCCTCTGGGACAATCATAGCCTCTGGGACACTCTGGAAAGCGGTTCACTTTCTCACCTTCAAGTCTTCACTCAGCTGACACATTTTCCTGGGCCTCCACAGCACCATTAGACATAAATCTGCAAACCACACACACCCAACTCTCAGCCCTTAGTTCCTTCGAAAGTCCTCTGTCGTTTACTTGCTCTTTCTACTGCTTCTGCCTGTCTCTGACATCTAGAGTGTAGGTCTCTGTCAGGTGTCTTCCCTCCTGTGGGTCTCTGAAGGCCTGACACAAAACGGGAGCTAGAAAATCATTCCCTGGGTGGATAGATGAATGACGGGATGAAGGAAGGGATGGTTCTAAGGAGCACTGAGGGAAAAGCTCATGAAGCCCCAGCTGTAGAGTCTAAAGGTTCCTGGGAGATCTTAGGAGGCCCATAGTGGCCTCTGTCAGCTGTGCTGAGGGAAAGGAGCCAGGCAAGTTGCCCACTGCCAGCCTTCTGGGGAGGGAAGGTAGGCAGCCGAGTGGGCGGGGATCGCGCTAACTGGAGATGCCAGCCCCGTGCCGGTCTGGGGCTGGCTAGCGCTCTGGATGTCATTAGCTGATTTGTTCTGCTCTGCAGAATGTACTTTTCATATTTAGGAGAAAAAACAGCTTTCGATCCTCGTGCCTTTTCTTCTGTGAGCTGTAGCACATGGCCTGCTTATTATGAATTAATCCTCTAAAGAGCATGTTCATTATTCTAATTTAATTGTGTTTCGTTTCAGAAAATAACTAAACCCAGTGCGGAATAAACTCCAACACTGATCGGTTTTCAAGAAGTTAAACTAAGACAAAAATACTGCTAGAGGGCAGCAGCAATTTGGAATCATTAAAGGGAACCCATGTAAATAATAAAAACAAAACTAAAATGCAGAATTAAATTAAGGAATAGGAAATTAAATTTGTGAATCTAATCTGAAATTGAGGCCTCATATGCACAGGCTTACCCTGGCTTGGCTTTTCTCTTAGGAGTGCTTGGCCAGGGAGCTTCTGCAGAGGGTCCCGAGGCTGGGGACTGTCCTCCTGACTGACAGAGAGCTGCCCTGGGAAGATGGATGTGGGCTGGCAGGATAGAAAAACAGGAACACGAAAGGCACATTGTCACAGCTTCATCTGGATGACTCCTGCAGAGCCCTGGAAAGATTGGAAATGAGGCAGGTGGGTGCGGGGAGGCTCCGGGCCTCAGCTATGGACCTAGAGCTGCCCCTCCAGGCGTGCTTCATTCCTGGCCCCGCTGCTTCATTATCCTCCCACTGCGACCAGCTCAAAACAGGAGCTGCGGGACCAGCCCCCTGCCTAAGTGGTGGCCTCTACACAGAGCTCTGGTCTCCCAGTGGGAGCCCAGTTCCAGGTGGAGAAACCCCGGACTCCAGCATCAGGACAGACAGGCATCATGGCTGGTCATCCTCCAGCAAGCAAGAAAGGGGAAGAAGGCAGAGAAGGGCCGAGTGCAGGCCAGAAAGCGGACTTCCAGGCTGTAAGATGCGTGCACGTTAGAGGTGCAGAGTTAGTTCAGGGCTCAGACTTCATTGCATATCTTCCAGGATTTTTGAGGCCTTATCCCTGGAGTGTTTTCTCTTTCCAAATGCCCGCCCTACAGAGTCTTCCTGTCTTTCCTCCCATCTCTTTTCTCAAAGGGAAAAGAGCTCAGCCTTTGGAGATAGCAGTTTGGAGTCACTTGGAAAACCATCTCACCTTCCTTAACCTCGGTTTCCTCAGGGGTAATGATCATGACAATATTGTCCCCTCAGATTGCTAGAAGAGGTGACAATGGAATAAAGCACCTGCTACTTCATTTTCTGTTTCCCCAGCACTTGCACA